TGATTCTTCTTTAAATAATAAAAAAAATGTCCGCAACGGTATTAGTCTATCTTTAAAGATTAGCAAGAACAGCAAAAGACAGATGAAGTTCCTAAGCTCCTAGTTACAAAAGTATGTAATAAATTTTAAAGTAAGTTGAAATTGACATTACCTTAGTAACGGGGAAAGCAAAGGCTCGTAATACTTTTACGCTCGTACACAGTAATGAGTAACTGTTAGTATTTTTAATATATAACAGTAATTTATGGGACAGCTGTTTTATTGTTTTTTTTTTTTACTAAAACAGTAGATATAAGAGAAATATTAATTCCATACAGCCTGCAGTCGTGTCGCGGTACGAAGTCGTATCTTTTTAACGGCGTTTTAAATTATAAATGCGAGTTCAGAGCGAATGGCGGTCTTTTGAACGTATCTCTTGTCAGTAAAACTGCATTTCGACCTTGGCCCGAGCAATTATACGTACATCTCCATGCAAAACTGCGAAAAGATCTAAATAGGAATATTAATAATGATGTCATTCGTGTCAAGGTTAAAAAATAAAAATCTCATAATATAATTAATATTAAGGTAAGATTATGAGTTTCTCAACGTTGCAGATCATAAAACCGTATTAGCCAACCAATTTAATTAACCATAACATTTTGCATGTAGAAAATGTAACTAAAAGATTATTTTTTTTAAATCAAAATTGGAGAACCACAGTGTCATGATCATGATAAAGTCATCATGTTTCCTATAAATTTCGTTTCTTCCGGGTGAGTTCTGATATACAAATAAAGAATCAAAGCACACCAAGGTAAGTGCAAACACGTGCACTCAACAAAGAGTCCTTCGACACAACAGAGACTCCATAAGAAAAATAAACGAGAAACTAACATCGAGTACAAAAAGTATAAACATTAATCATTGTGATGAATTCTTGAGATACCGCGCAAGGGAGACGACGCCGTGGTTGTTATGATATGAGTAATAGGCAATGTTTATGTAAGTTTGATTTGCGCGGCGGTAGTCACGAGCCTTGACAGCAATGCGCGTACGCCGTAGCGTGTCAAGGGAGCGCTGCTTTCGCTGCCACGCCTGCGCCGACCCTAGATAACCGAAAGGTGACAGGGGAACTAGGCGACATTTTGCACTCTGTTTCGAGCACGATTAAGAGCGCGAGGACAGAACCGATGCCTTTCAATTATATAGAAACTTAAGTTTCCTTAGGATTTTAGGAAAATGACACTACTGTGAACCGGCAATATATCCGTCTGTCTATCGTTATCTTGTTACTATAGCTGTTTTCATAATGTCACGCATTTTGACTATCTAATTAGAATTGTGTAGACAATAGTTGGATTAATTTTCTAATAACTAAACATATTATTCACTATGTAGCTTATTAAAGGCGTGAAATAAAACAATTCACCAAAAATTACTTCCAATTAGTAGAAACACAGATTCAGTTGCGAAAATCGTAGAAAAAATCTAAACTAGGAAATAAAACTTTGACAATGAGAAGGAGAAACTGGGCCATTGAGTGTTTGACTGAACATTGGGGCACAATAGGCTATAACAACAGAGTGAAGGTAAAAACAATTTAAACAGACCTCCGCGCCGGGCCATTGTGTAGGCTTTTAACGCAGTGCGTTTACTTATACGTTTGTGCATCGATATGCAAAGTTATACATTTGCTATAACTTAACAGACTTTCTCTTCGGATATACTCGGCTTAAAGTTAACTTAAGATAATAAAAATAAAAGCTGAGATTCACTAGACAGATAAGCAGTTATCTTACTAAAAGCATTCCCCGCACTTAGTTATAATAATAATACCCATAATTATATTGGCCAGGAATATAATTTAACATATATTGTTATATAAGCTACATAACTCACCATTTAAAAACTTAAATTACATTGCAAAGCCAATAGTAAAGGTTTCCAGAGGAGTAAGAGATCTCTCAAGATTTAGATAACTACGGAACGAACAATTTTCTAAGTGGATGTAGACGTCTGAACGCGAACAATGATACTCCTGTCTCCACGACGGCACAGTCGCCCGAGAGAGATAAGCGCGCCACCTAAATTCATTCAGATCTACACAAGCTATACAAATAACAAATGAGAAACTTTGTAAACATTTTCAAATGAGGGAAATCGTTGATTAATTTCTAATGAACGTTTCTTGAGGATGAATAAATGTTAAATGGGCGTAATGTGTTTAATATTTACGCCTTTTAGTGATGATTGCTTCTTTATTATTATTCTGTCAAGTTTAGTTTTAGTATAAATCGCAAACGCTACGAAACTTGACGTTGACGATTGTATCTTTCAATAGAAAAACATTAATGGTATGGGGTTCTTGTTTGTTGTAACGTCAGTATAATTTTTTATAGTAATACTTGAAACTAGCATTTGTCTTTCAGTAAGTCAAACTGTGCTGAGTGTCTGTGAAGTCTTAATATATGAAGTATGTGTTTAGTTGAATTTTAATAATAATACCTCAATTTTACACGAAAATGTACTCTAAATTTCTCATAAAGACGTTATAACATTATTAATAGCGGATTTTAGTGCGTGAACAATTTATCAGTCCTGAAATCCTTGTGCCTGATTTTGGGATGAAGCTTCGAGAGTGCTGGGTCCATGAATAATTCATGTACCCCGTATACCTTAGTCGTCCCTCGTCAGCGAATGTAAAGCGATGAAGGCAGATTCTATCATGGAAGCTAGCTTTTCAATTTAAAACATGGATACAGCCGGTATTGGTGTTGTTTGAATTGTAGTCTCGTTCGTCGTAAAGGATGTATTAAATTTTAAAAGCAGTAGAAAGATATGTTTCCTGTTTACATTATAAAGTTGATGCTTTCATTGGAGGTTTTTATTCCAGAAAGAAACACATGATCATGTTTTTCACAGCCTAAACGTAACACCTCTTTTTGACAAATGCAGAGGAAAATGGGAATTTAAAGGCTCTTAATTATACATTATGTATGAAAAAATTAAAATATACATATTTAATATCCATCAGTAGTCTGTTTTTGGGGGGACTAGTTTACTAATAAAGACTCGACTAAATTATGATAGGATAGGAGGACAAAAGGCGAGTAACAAAGCAAGTGAAGAGTTAAAGAACATTAAAAAATGAAGATGTAGTCAGCCTCAAGAAGAAACTGTTGGAATCCTTCGCACGCACCGAGGCACGTCCAATGGCAGTGTAAAAAAATCAACCAAACGCGAGCGATTGTTTTATTCGTTTTCTTTGTGGGCGAACGTCTGCGCTGGAAACCGGTACCGCAGGTCGGATGTGCCTCGCGGGTATCGACAATAACGTAGTCTACACAAAAATAACATTCTTTATCATTATTCACAATTTCGTAGTATACTATAGTAAATTACGTGCATTTTACGATCGTGCATATGTCGACGTAAACAGACGTAGTTGTTGCGATGCTATGACACGAATCTGATATAAAAATATACAGGCTTATTAAATATAGTGAAATGTAAAATTTAAACTGGAATACAATGATGAAATTTCTCGAGACGTTAAAATAAAAAATACAGCTAGTATTATCAAACTCGGTCAAGCTGTTTGAGGGTCAAAGAGTACATTTAAAATAATAAAATAAAGACGACGGATATAGAGACTGGGAGTAGAATCGTTCGCTTTACATTTGCAATGGAGCGTGGAAAATGAAAATCGATAAAAAGCAGGGTCCCGTTGTTTGAACGATACAGAATAAAAATAATAGATTACAAAAGGGCAAAGGATAAAATGGTGTGGTGTATGAGTGTCGAGTGTGGGGCTGGGGGTCAATGACACGCACCCTGATCCGTCGGGTTAGATATACAGGACGTGAGTCACTACTGGGGGTTACCAGCTGCTGCTGACAAAAACCCACCCCCGAGTGCAGTGTGTAATTGTGAACGCGCGTGTCCGTGCATGCGGCTCTTTGTGACGTCGCCTAATCAAATTAAAAATATTGACCCAAGATGTACTTTATATAATTAATGCGATTACACCAGTAACAAAGCGGTAAACGCATACTTTAACAACTAGACAATAGGAAAGATATTGATTATTCTTCCTCGCAAAGCTATGCACATGACAAGTATTATCAAAATCAGATCAGCCATTTCGCCTAAGATAGAAATCTAGTGATTCTAATAAGCGTTGTATGTACTTATAATATCTAGGCAGTTAATCCTAAAGAAGATAATGTTACATACGAGCATCGATGAGTCGCGATTAAGTCCGATATTTGAATAACGTACGTAACAATGATTGTGATGCAGGGAGTGAAAGCGGCAACATATGCTGGCCTCATTCGCTTTGTGAAGTGTGGATCTGTCGCCATATGGTTACTACACTGGGTCACACGAAATAGTCAATACCCGCCGCTGTAAAGAACAGGCATCTATGGATTTGTACAGCAGAAAAGACGTCGTTAAACGTGAAAAAGTCACGTTCGCACGCCGCCGATGAAATATCGATGGTCTGTAGGCGAATCGTCAATGAGCGGTTTCCAAAGGGCGAGGAACTACAACAATCGGCCTTCACCTAGGGCTGGCCATCGATCCTACGCAGTTCTCGCCTGACGAGTGTATATTTATAACTATGGCTGAGAATGTGAAAATCCACTTACTGCGAAGGTACACGATCGAGGCAAAAAATTAACGTACAAGTGGTTTTAATAAGGACATTGCACTCGGCAATGAAGACAATACGATTCTAAGTTAGCTCCATTACGAATATCATTCGTGACTCAGATCGAACAGACAAAACTTCGAAGGCGGAAACTAGCTAGGCAGTGACGCAATAGGCATTGTGGATATTCGTTAATAATATCTGTGAGAACGATCGCGCTCAAGGAGACAGACATTAGAGTGATGTCGAATCTGTTAGTCGCGACTTCCCATGAGGAACGAATAGTTGTCTAGAGGCGTCAATAACCTCGTCGGTACGGATCGTGGAGATTGCAATAAATACGACATCGGCGGCACTGGCCTGGTCAAGAGCCTTTCAAGGCCGGGAGGTGAGGCGGGGGGCGCCCCACATCTGCGCCAGGTCTAGTTGCCTTATTGCTTACAATCACCACGCGAGATGCAATTCTCCTTTCAACCTTCGCACCAGATTCGTCAGGATCTGAGGACACGTTGACGCACATCACCACGATGATGTTCACAAATCGGCTAAGATAACATGTGCTCGTGGTACCGATTTCATAACTTAGTCCGCCAAGGTCGCGCACTAATGGCTTTGTACTTGAAAACGTAAACCAACTGGAAACTCATTGTGAATTATTTCTTGAAGTAAATCCTTGCAGACAATTTAATAGCACTATTATTCGCTTCCTCAAACGTCTTTGTCGTTATTAGCGCGAGCGATGAGCATAATTTAGCAACCGCCTCGATATCTATTGTTTCATTTACAACACAAACACAAAGCATATGATCGCAGGTAGATTCGGAGTAAGCGAGACACACGCGGAAAGACATTTAAAGGATCCTCGGGTCACGACAGGAAGTATGATGCACCGAACTCACCGGAGGTCGAGGAAACGGGCGGCCTTTGTTCTCCTTTCACAGGACATAATTGTTTTTTTTTTTTTCGATAAACACAGCGACGACACTTCACAACAGCGGTGCAGACACCATGCTCACAATGCGGGCGCGTGCGTGCGCGCACTTCGGACACTACCACTGGCGGCGAGAGAACGCGCGCACTGACAGTCTGACGCGGTCTGTTCGGCACACGGCGGTACGTAAGCGGGCTAGTGGCTACCTGCTTGGCCGTTTCCGCGGTGAGGTGAAGCGGAGGTGCGCATCGTACTGCGCGCCCAGGTACACGCTGGACGCGTGATCCACCGTCCACGAGACGTATCATCTGTCTTTGACCGGACAGATATTTCTAAAGAACAATTAGCTATGACGTGCACCAATTCACATACAAATGAAAACAATTTGCTGTACAACCACTATTGGTAAAATATCGAAAATATCTGACAGATAGGAAATAAAATATTTTGAAAAGTTTATTTTCTAACTAGGTATATTAGGTACATATTTTTTAAATTAATTTTAACAAAATAGAGGCACGCTATATAAATGGCTTTATACAGATTGTATCGAAAAGAAAAAAAATCACCGTAAATTGCATTTAACCACAAAACGCACATAGCTCCACTGCATAATTTCACACAGAACACAACAGAATGTTGAAATTTCGTTTGAGTTCATTAATTCGATAGTTAAACGAAAGTTAGCCACCGTAATTAACATCGGTAATTGCTCTAAACAGGTCAACTGATGGTATTACCTTTTAGCGATGGTTTCTATTTGAAATAATGGTATACTTTCAGTTGTACAGTTCTTTAATTTACTTTTAAAAATGATATTTCATACTTTCCAGTTTCAAGATGGCCATCTAATAAAAAATAATCATTGATATAAATTCTTTTATAAACAGGCAATATTTGACGGGTTTAATTATTATATTACTCTGGTCTTGAAATTTGAATTTCTCGCGCTCAACGCATTTGAACATTGTCAATAGCGAAAAAAGCAAATTATGTATATACATAATAATTATAATATAAATAATATGTATAAGTTAATAATAATAATACGGAAGACCTTACAGCAAGACTCCACGTAATAAGAAAGCTGATAAGGGCAAAGAGAAACCTCTCTTGACTTATACCTTCGTCCTAATTTACATGTAAATATTGTTTATTGAAATATGAGTCATTTTCGAAGGCCCGGCCAACTTTCACCATTGCCCGAACACAATTAACGAGTAAACGGTATGAACCCGAGTTAATGTATAGTTTACAACTTAACAAATAGTTTGGGAAATTCTTTTCTCTTGCGCAATGTGCCGCCAAGACAAACATTAGACATTGGACCAGGTAATAAAGAATGTGAAGAAGTATGTGTAAGGGACACCAGTTAGTTTTTTACAACCTGAACATAGGCACAACGATTTTCAGTGATATCCTACGCTACTAGTAAAACAAATATCTTACACACATTGAAAAATTGTGTGATTACTGCGCAATAAACCTACACATAACATATTAATATTAAATATATCTAAATACTGTCTGTACTTTACGCGAGTACTAAACTTTTAAATAAAACACTTTAACCTTTTAAAATTATTTAACCTTAAGTTTAAAACCAGAAAAAAAAGAAACGAAACGTTGGGCGGCCGTAGTTAAAATAATTTTCAAATAAGTTTAATTAATATGTACCGTGTTTAAAACTTTTACACGATTTACAAATTCGGAAACGATAAATAGTAAAAAAAACTACTTTATATTTATATTGCCTAAAAGTTTTTAATTACCAGTCTTTTCCTTAAGGAAAACTGAATTAATTAAGTGTAAAAGAATACTAAGAACGTATCTTACTTTCCACTCGTTCCTTTTGGAAAGAAAGAGGACGACATGAGTATTCCCGGAGGTGCCTCAAACGACCCTCTTGTTTTTTCCTCACCCGAAATATCATTGCGATCTCACTGCGCCTTGTTCTTAGAGTAATTTTCTTTATTGTACACCAGATAGCAAGCGGGCGTTGTATTTCGTGTTTTCAAAGAGCAAATCTGCGCCAAAATGTCCTTAACCAAATTCACTGAAGGCGTTTCGACTTAATACTTTTGAGAATAAAGGAATTTATGGACAGACTCACGATTTACTGAAATGTTGGGAGCATCTATTTGCTTTTGTTATTAGATTCGAGTGTCACAATCGTGTATGTTAAATTATTGCTCCGAATGCTTTTTCGATATAGGTCTCCTCAGTTTACGACAGTGTCTTATTATTAAATTAATTATTATTTTTAATCTAAAATACATGTTTTACGTTAATTTAAGCTCTCGTGTGCATATCGAATCGATTTTAGCAATGAAATATCATAAATCGTCAAATGAAATTTAAAACAAATCTAAATTAAGTTTCTACTTTAGATATATGTTTTTTGTCTTCTTGTTCCTGACTGGAACTCCAATATACGAGAAATACTAGTATAGCGGTAAAGCAGAGTAGCCTTATTAAGCAATTACAATAACAACATCATTAAAATATCTTACAAGACACACTATGTTATTATGTTTACGATTTACTGTACATTGTTGCAATTTGATCGCTTCATGTACGTGATAAACCAACGCGGAAGTGGAGAGCACGAGTTTTTAGTATTTATTGCGGTTTTGATAATAACAGCTGTAGGCGAGTAAGCTCGAACAATTTCGTTAATTTTTTAAATTTTTTATTTTTCTCTATTATTTTAATGTACACAAAAGTATATCCTTAACATTGAATACGTCTACAGCATATATCGAGGCGCAAACAGAATGTTATTGTCTAGCCAGTTTGAGATGCATTAAAAAGCTAAACACACGCAAAACCGCCATTAGGAAATGGGCGATGCCGCAGGAGAACGTACGATAACGATTGCGCCAGGCAGCCATAGTGAATGGGGAAAATTGCGCTTTTCAGCGAAATGAAAGCCGGCTGTGCTTACAAAATTCTTCGCAGATAAAAAAGGCATATAAATTTTCGGGGGCGCCGCTCCTTTGATATCATATGCGTCTATAGGCCGCAATAGAATCCCTTGAAATTAAAATGCTCGTCCGTTAATAAGAGATTCCAGCCTTTCAGCCAATTTTATTTTGTTACACTATTATTAAAATGAATTTCCATAGATTAAAACGCAATTGAACTATAACAAAGAAATGCCGTATATTATGTACATAGTATTAAATAATTTTAGCGTACCACTAACCTTGAACATATTTCTTTGGCTGCTAAACAGCGCCTAGTAATATAGACTAAAACTAATTGTATCGCTTCTATTGGGGTTATTACCTGACCAGTACCTATAATTATGGTTTTATGAGAACCTTATAGATATTATGTCACACTAGACTGAATACAATTAAGTCAAGGATAAGCTAAATAAGACTGTATATAAAAAAAAGGTCCTATAAATTTTCGTTGTTTAATAAAAATACATAATCCATCTAAAGAATAAAACAAAAGAACAACGCAGAAGAGAAAAATGAATATAACAAACGAGATATTGTATTAAATACCGCAGCGATGAGAAAGATCTATGCAGAGGTGTGAAAACAAAATGAAAAGCGTGTTATTTATTGCGCCGGACCGAGTAACTGTGACACAAATTGAAAGCGACGAAGTAGTACAATATTACTCTACAAACAAAAGCAACGAGGCTCCACGGCGGCCACAAGTGGGGCAGGCATTGTGGCTGGAACAAGGAAGAGGAAGCGACTTGAAGGCCTAGAAACAATGCCCAAATATACCCCTACAACAAATTGTTATTTGTGCGGTGGTAACATCAGAGTGGTGGGTTTTAGAAGATGGTAAGTCACTAACTGGAATCATCATAAATGAGTTGTACGAGGAACTTTTGCTAACAAAGATGATAAGTGCTGGCTTCGATTCGCGTTAGCTTTTACTTAATTGAAAAAAACTATTACATTTTACAACTATTGTATCAAAATCTAAACTGAATTGATGTAAGTATAATATTGAATCGTAATAATAAATTTTCAGTTCAGTTTATAAAAAAAATCCGTTCTTTCCGATGTTTTATTGGTTAAGCGTAACCTAATGTAAGCGTGCCTTTAGTTCGAGAGGTTCGAATCTGAGCGAAACAAATAGTTTCAAAAAAGCAGTATCTATGAATTAGTTAATTGCCTGTACATAGAATCGATCGCTGAAACGAATACAAGGTGTGTACGCTTTAAGCTGTAAACGGGATTTCATACGCTAGGTAAATATGCTCCTCAAAAATCAGGGATGAAAATACAGTCATCTAAGCCAATTGGACAGGATTTGCTCAAATCCCAAGCCCTAACGATGCTGTCTGTTCGTGCTGCAAACTAGCATGTTTTCTAAAAATGTAGGTAAAGGAGAAATGCATTTAGCATAACCAACGAAAGCCCAAATCCTCAGGATGCATTGTTATTTGTTAGAACCAGTTTCTCAGAAAACGATATTCTTGGTTAAATACTGTCTTGTTAATATAAATTTAAAAAAACTTTCGTTTAACGATATATATTAACTTATTTGAAAATGATTTTTATTGCCGATTTATTCGAAAACTCGCGGATATAAAACATAAAGTCTCTCCAAATCTGCGTATCAACACTCATAGAAGGGCCCAATCACTAATTCCTTTGACCAACCAAAAATCCTCGAAGAGATCGATTTTTTCCAAGATTGGTAGGAAGCAATTGAAATCAAAAAACACCGAAATTTAATAGGGAGGACGCCTCAAACTATCAAACACCTGGATCCCATATTAAAAACTCTGATCCCAATACAGCATACCAGCAACGCGAAGACACCGTTATCAATTTGTAAGGACCCGCCAGTTTGCCAATACCAACTTGAGAAAATTAGAGTAAATTTTTACTTTGAGTTGAGACATCCTCCATCTTTTCTCGTGACCAGGTGCTGAAAGCATCCGAAACTCGGGCCGAAGTTAAAAATCATTTTCAAATAAGTTTAACTAATATATGGTTTTAAACCGTTAAAGTTTTTATTTAGATATTTTGGTCTCAATACGCGATTTGAGCTGCAGCATAACGGAGGCTTTTATTTCTTCTCTATATAATTAATGTTTCAAATAATTATTCAAATCCTTTACTTTAAAGGAAATTGCAAAACATTTAACACTTCCTAGTTTTGATATTAATTTTAATAAGAAAATAACTCATGTGAAGGCGACGCTTAGAACGTTATGTTAATGAGATGTTTAGCACGTGATAAAGTATTAAAGACAGAGTAAAAAAATAATGACAACATTACAACAGAATACTAATGTGTTTCTCTCGTAAGTCCTACGAACAAGTTC